TAGATTAATGGAAGCAAGGGTAAATGACAACAATCACAGAGATAAGAAATATAACCAGACTGCTACCGAGTTATTAAGCGGCTTGTATTAGTCTTACAAAATGTTTTCCATTGATAATGTCGTGATTTAGTTTTCCAATCAGGAGCAGTTCTAACACCTTTACTCAAGGATTGGTGCATAAATGTGTGGTTTTCAGAATGCTAAGATAATACCAATTAATACCTCGATAGCATTAGGATGAAGTTGGCAGTTGTGAGCTTTGACATGATCAGCAATCAAGCGTACAGCTTGCACAGTCAGCTCACCACCATGTTTCCCTTCATTTGAGAAAAGAGACCTGATAGTAGAGCAACAGAGTCTCCTGCATACACAAACAGGTGCAAGAAATGAGTTAGATAGGAACGAAAAGGATGCAATTGCAGTAAAATGACATGAGTATGACACAAGAGATATTAACAATTCTACTATGGGTTAGATTCCATGGTATATCATATTCGTGACTCTGAAAAAGGGTTAAAACCAGGACCTTACGACTTCATCTGGGGAGCTGATATTTCTGACAACAGCAATTAACAGGTTATCACGGTAGTTGAAGTGAGGAACTGCTTCCAGCAATGTACAAAGGCACCGATTGGCAATTTGGTTATATACTGACTTCGTTTCAAATATAATCAACTTCTGCAGATATGACTGTCAAGGACATCAGAAGCAAAGGAAAACGTATTACAATTATACACAGAGAAATCAAGAATCAAATATAATTGACATGCACACCTTGTACGCTTTTAATAGAGTAGACTCATAGAACCGGGTTTTCTTCACTTCCTTTGAGATCTTCATCTCAAGCTCCTTTTCTGTAGGAAGTCTAATCCGATAGCTGGCACCACAAAAAAAATAAGAAGGGCTAATTACCAACACCATCGAAGGGGATGAAGAGAATGATTAGCAAATAAAATGAGGAATAAAGGTACATAGAAGATTAATAAAATTACCCAGGAATAATATCTTTGAATACGGCCAACAGAGATAACAAGCCAAGTTTCACAATCTTCGTATTCTCATCCTTGCAGATATCTAACATTTCCTTTAAAGATTTTATGTTTGCCTCAGGATCAGAAAGTAGTAGCATCCCCAATTCCGCGAGTTTATTTTTCTTATTTTCAAATGTCTCTGCAGCAGATAGTTCTTCTTTCACTTCAGCCTGATGGAGAAAGAAAATCATTCACACGTTAAAAAAAAACATGATGAATGAATATGGAAAACACTAAAACGCTCCAAATTACAAAATATCCAATTTTCAGAATGATTAACAACAAAGAAGTTATTACACGATCAAGATGCAGAAAGCTATCAACTATGGTGCTCAATGAAAAATCATGTCAAAGAATGAACATTGAAATGTTTAGCTACTTATATAATGAAAAAAAAAAAAACAGAGAAACTCAAAAAAAGGCGTTACCAGAACTGCGGCTTGGGGCGTTTCTTCCTCTTGTAAAATCTCATTAGGAAAATCCTTGTCATGTTTCTTTGCCTCCCTTTTACTCTTTTTAGCTTTTTCTCTCCTTTGAGATTTGTTCAATAAATTTTCATCATCAAGAACATCCTTCTCTGCTTCATCTGTGTCGGCTTCAGCTAGTTTTGACTTCTTTGACTCTGAACCATACCAATGCAGCAGCCACAAAACAGGAAAACCTCCAATTAGAATGCTACTAAAATGGAGCCACTAAACAGAAAACAAAAGAGTCTTCTCGTTTCTTACCTGTTCGATAGTGGAGTTTTCCATCTAAAGTCTTGACAGGGAGCACATCAACAGGATCCACTAGAATCTCGCCATTCCCTTTCTCTTCCTGGAGTGTCTTCTTCTTTGATCTTTCTTCTTCATACTTATCCTCCACTGTCTTTACTCTACCACCGCATTGCCTAGCAACAGCGTAACAAGATATTATCAATACAGAGATTCGAATCAAAAATGAGGATGCAAATTCCAGGTAACGATTCGGATATAGCAAATATTGAACAAAATCAACCCTAATACTAAAAATCACCAAATTTAAACAATGTATTGAGAGACTTATACGAACTTATTGATAGCGGCGGTATCAAGTCGAGAGACGAATCGGGCGTATTCAGTGTTCTCTTCGACGTACTTCAAATCCTCGTCGGAAAACTCAATATCCTCGTCGGGTACATCCGGCGGAAGCTGCGGTGGAGGTATGACCTTCTGTTTACGCCTACTTTTGCCCATTATCACCACCACTGATTCTGAAGCAGTAATGGAATTGAATTAGGGTTTTTGTGAATATGATGAAAATACTTAAAAATAATAATAGTATTAAAAGAAAAATAAACACCCTCCTCAACATGGGCTAGGCCCATTTATGGATACGGCTACGTTTAAAATTGGGCCAAAAAAGAGTCTCTATGGATTAATTTGGACAAATATTACAGTACGTACGAAATATAATCACATGATTACATGAACCTATGTAAGATGGGAGCTCCTGACTTATGGGCTTGGCTTCCGACCAATGATGGCATATATAGTGCAAAGTCTGGTTATTTTGAGGCTTATAACGATGCCAAAATACCTGAAGAAGCTCCAGATCTTTGCACAAATGAGACTTTCAATTGGAAAGCTAATATCTGGTCACTCAAAACTTCACCAAAGACAAAGCTCCTTCTATGGAAAGCGGCCCAAAATGCCCTCCCTGTTGGTCAGAATCTCCTCCACAGACAGGTAAATGACTCAGTGAAATGCCCTCATTGCCAGGCTGATGAATCTGTAGAGCACCTTTTCTTCTCCTGTCCTTTTGCAAAGAAGATTTGGTCTCTGGCTCCGATGAAAACACCACTAAATCTTGCGGGAACCCCTTCAATTCACGATGGTATCCTCCTTGCAAATAAGCTCATCTGCCTCCCTCCCACTGGTATCGGAGAAGGACCTTTGGCTCCATGGATATTCTGGACAATTTGGACTTCGAGGAATCAACTAATATTCAGTAAGAAGCAAATTACCGAAGAAGAAGCTTTGAATATTGCCTTGATAAGAGCCAAAGAGTGGCAAGCGGCTCAATCCACTCACCACCTACAAAAACCTGTCCGCCATCCCCCAATTGCTTGACCTGCTTCACTGATGCATCGTGGAAAGCAGATGGGAAGTCGGGATTAGGTTGGAAGTCGGGATTAGGTTGGATCTTTAAGGACCCGCAGGACCGCACTGTCGTGGAAGGCTCAGCCTCGTCTTCTTCCGTCGGTTCACCCTTGATCGCCGAAGCCATGGCAACTCTCGCCGCTGTTGGAGTTGCAGTGGAGTCGGATTTCAAAACCCTCTTCTTCGCTTCAGACTCGTTAATACTAGTCAAAGCTCTCAATCAGAAGATCCAACAGAAGGAACTTCATGGGATTCTACACGATATCCTCTATCTATCTTCAATTTTCAATGTCTGCTCCTTTAATTTTATCCCTAGATCCCTTAATCGGCGAGCAGATTTGCTGGCTAAGGAAGCTCTTCAACTTTCCGCTTGTAATGTTTTCTAGTTTCGATTAATGAGAATTAATCACTTTGCCCAAAAAAAAAAAAGATTACATGAACCTATGAAAATCACATTTTCACACGATATTGTTTTCCACCGTTTTTTTTTTTTGTTTAGGGGGGGTTTTCTCTAATATGCAACAAATATGCCAAAATCAATTAATGGAGAAGGCAAATAAGTTGACACGTGGAATTTAAATGTTTCGTGAAGGAAATGACCAAAGTTCATAAATGTAGCAGGAGCATTAATTACAATTTATTAGATGTCACGATCCCATTAATTGAATTCGTTTCTATTAGGATGTGTTTCTGAATTTCTCTTCTTCGCTTTTTTTTTTTTTCCTCATTTTCCTATCCATTCTCTGAAATCCACCTAACAAAAAAAAAATCGTACATGAAATTAGGATTAGTTTCCACTGAAGGGGAGACTTACATATTTAAAATATCTGTGTTCTATAATTATAGACGTAAACCTAATTTTGAAACTGTAGTGAACGTACGAAAAAATATACTCTAGATTTTTGTTATGGATAAAGACGAATATCAAACAATATAAACTTATATACGATACGTACCCCATCCGGAGTAATGTATGAATGCCACACAAATACAAAAATGTTAAATGCAAAACCTATATATACTACCTACGAAATATTATTATTTCTGGTCCCACCGTTAGTATAAATTCTATCATAAATCTAACTCATCTACTCGTCGGCCGTAGTATAATATCCGCCATGCGATATGTTGTTCGTTAATACAGTATTTGCATTTCTACTTTTCCTTACGTCGTTGACATTTTTTTTATACTACTAATAAAATAAGTTTACTTGCACATCGGATTTTCATATCTGCGATTTACTACGTTAGTTGCAAACTTGCAGTTATTCATATATGTGAATATGTGTGCACTGTTGACCTATGAGCATTTGAAGTTAGGTCAGCATGCTGGTTATGCGCATAACTTTGAATGACCTTATTATCAAATTATTACTATATCCCATACTTAACCACACACAAATTACAACATTAAATCCTTCTAACAAAATATGAAACAGTTGTCACATTTAATTCGCCCTTTTTAATAATCAGTTTTTGTCCAAACACACATATTGAAAATTTATCTTTAATTGGGTTTAGAAACTTGTTTGTTGAAGGTATTATGCATGCATGCAATTGCAAACCATTTCCTCATTTCATCTACTACTCATCAATTTTAGGAAATCATAACCACTCAGATAAGACTGACAGGCATTTGGATCCAATTCCAAGTCCAACAGTGTAAAAGTTTTTTTTTTTATTTTCCAAATAAACTAACAAAATTGGCAAATAATACTATTAATAATAGTGTTTTATTTTCGTAAAAAAAACAAAGTTCATTTAGATGGACAAATTCAATGAATTCAAACTACCTTCCAACCAACCATGGACTTTGGGTTTATTCAAAATCAGAAAATAAGAGTATGAGGAGCCACAATTAAATTGTAACATTAATAATTATCGTAATACAAATGAACTAACTAAAGCATTTACAAAAATGCCATTAACATCCTTCTAGTCTTCTTTCTCCATCAATTTTTTTTTTTTTTTCTTTTTGAAATTTTACAAAATAAACCCCCTGAATTGGTATCTATCATTTACAACACCGAGAGCCCCAAAAATGAAAAACGTTCCAATTAAACCCCAAAAGATTCAGATCGATATGTTGAGATCAATCTTAGGCTTCTTCTTCATAGAATTTGTAGGCAAAGGAACAATGGTATCACACCTCGGACATTTCGGGTTGTTCATCATCACCAAAACATACGATAAACATCCAGGACATCCAGCCGCAACCGGTGAGGCAACAACCTCCGTCCGATAATGATCCGGCGATTGACGTTTCTTGAACATAGCCGGATCTCTCTCCGCTCTCTCCAGAGCTGACTTCACCTTGTCGAGTGTGCATACACTCTGGAAATTACTAGCGTTCGGCGATATCGATAGAGGACGATAACGAGACGACGGAAGTAGCTTCAGTTCCGGGGTTGTCGTGTCGTCAAAGAGGTTCAACAAAGGAGAATTACTAGAATTCGGAGGAAAATTCAAATCCTGAAACGTCGGCACTGTTTGATTGGATTGTTCTGCTGCGTTTGTTATTGACGATGAGCTCGTTGAATTGCATCGTTGCAAATACACTTTCCCTGACTGCATGTTCAAAAACAACGATACGATCTAATCAACCAAAATAACAAAACGTAAAAAAAAAAAAAAAAAACAAAGAGGAATTCAAGACGAACCTTCAAGTCGAGACGTTTTTCGTAACCGGTGGGGACTTGAAGGTCGAGGTCAAGCTCTAATGACCGATCACCTCCTCCTATACCGCTTCCAAGAAGGTCACGAGTCATCAGCGCCGCCGTGGATTTCGCTCCGGCAGAATCTTTAACCACCGCTCGATCATCTTTGTAACCGCTTAGTAACCGTACGAGAGAGCTGACGTCAGCAGCCATATCAAGAATCATAGAGAGAAAACAATGGGGATGTGGAAACGCAGAGAGAGTTATATAGACGGAGCCAAATATTTAAGGGCCGAAATGTAGAAATTGTTTTTAAGTCTAGGGGAAATAATTAAATGCGGCACGTTATTATAATTTTTAAAAATTCAATTGATATATTAGTATTAAATTAATATTTTGCGATTATTGTTCGTTTTTATTTTGTTTTCAAATTTGATTTTAGTTTACTTTCTCTTGTGTACACAAAAGCTAATAGTAGTATTTAATGAGGGGTTACATTTATCGTTGTACCATTATTGACTAGCATTTAAATTTTAATGTATTTAATGTGTGGTGATCTCTAACCTTTTTTTCTTTCCCTATTTCACGCTCTACACGTTTTCTCACTATTCGTTTTCTTACCATATTTTTCTCACATTTAAATTCCTATTTAATTTTTACATCTATATGGTACTAGTGCATGTGAGAGTTATAGATTTTAATTTTTTTAAAATAAAATAATATGAATACAAGCAAACAACCTGATAATTCTACTCGAGCAGTATTTTTCTTGAAAACACTGTTCAAAAATCAGTCTCGAAATATGTATTTCCGAAAATAGACCATTATTTTATTTTCTTGCAGTAATTGTTAGCAGAGGAATCGTCGAATGGAGGAGAGGAATTCTAGGAGAACGAGCCAAAGTGTATTAAATACGATAGATAGAGAGAGATAGAAAATGAGACGCATTAATTGCCAAAGCGTCTCTCCATAAATTACTTTTCAAACCTCCCTTACGATGACGAACAAACAAAAAAACCTCCTTTACGACTTTAATTAGTGATTAATGTCTTAATTCTCTTTTTGCCACCCGTTATTAATGCAACAGATACACAGCAATTATATCGAAAATGATCAAGATAAATATAATCTATAATTATTAAAAAATATATAAATTACCAAATATTTATATTACTGTGATAATATATAAAATTAATAATAAAAATCATATACATAATTATTAAAAACATAAATTTCATAGTTAAATATTTATTATTTCATGCATTTGGTTCATCACTAAAAATTGCGTCAAGTAATATAACAAACTACTAAAAAATCTGAAAACTGAAAAAAGATATTTTGAATTTGTTTATCTTTCAGATTACTAATTGAGCTTTTCAATTTTTTTGTTTGCGATATTAAAAATAATAAACAATGATGATGTGCAACAAAAATAGACAAAATAACTTAAAAAAAAAAAAAAGAGTTTTAGTATTTTCACCAAAGATATAAAATATGGGAAAATTAGAAATAAAGAAGCTCTTAAAAAAAGTTTGACCATATACACTTTTTTTTAGAAGGTCACTTTAGACTAAAATACTCTTACTCTCTATTTTAAGCATTTTTTGAATGATTTTACCAAAAAAACATGTAGATATACAAGATTATAGATGATTTGAAAAAAAAAATTGATGATTTAGTTGAAAAAAGTTGATTTTTTTATGGATAAAGTTTTGTCTAAAATTATTAGAATATGTTTTCTAGCGTTCTACGAATATCAAAATTTATATTCTAAACTTTTGTACATGTTCTACGAAAATCAGAGTTTGTATTCTAAATTTTTGTACATGTTCTACGATTTTTAGATTAGATACATGTTCTAACAAATTCAGAAGACCGGAATACAATTTCCAAAAATCCTTAGAACATGTATTCTACGCTTTTCTTCATGTTCTAATTTTAGTCAGAAAATCTATTCTACGATTTATAACATGTTCTAAAAACGTTAGACAACGTATAATTATTTTAGAATCAGTTTTCTAATATAATATAGAGTTCAATTTCTTAAAAGTTTTAGAATTCCTAAATATAGAAAGTGAATCTTTCAAAAAGAAAACTGAATATTTATTAAATATTACGTTTTTATTGTTTAGATTACGATCTTAGGATGGTTAGAATACGTATTCTAATATTTTCAGATGAAAAAAAAAATTAAAAACGAAAATCTAGAGGGTGAAATCGTTTTTTAGTCCTAATCGTCAAAGTCTTCTTCTTTCACCTCTTCCTTTTAAGTCCACATTGAAAGGTTAGACTAATTTGGTAGATTTGTCGTTGTTTTTCCCCGTTCTGTGCCACGTTTTGTCACTTGGTATATACCCATATGCTGATGATGTGTATACAACTGCCACTTGGAGATCATTATATGAGGAAACTATTAATCCAATAGGTGTTCCTGAAGATGAATGGCGCGTCCCAGAGGTTGTTGAATCTGCAAAAGTTTTACCACCTGAAACAAGAAGACAACCTGGTAGACGAAGAAAACGAAGATATGAATCAGCTGAAGACAAGATAAAAGCATTACAACAGTCACAATTATCAAAAAAGCATAAGTGCGGCCGTTGTGGTAAAGAAGGTCATAATCGAGTAACATGTGATGTAGCAATATAAGGTTTGTGATCGTGATCTGACTACTAGTTTAAAACTTAAGTATAGATTCCCTACTTTTATATTTTGTTTTGATAATTGTTTTATTTATCTTTTCAGGATTATGTTGCAACTGCTCTCATTGAACGTTTCTAGTTACCACTGTATATGGATTTTGAACTTCTTTCTCATTTCATGATTATTTTCGCATTTTTTATTTCAGATTTGAATTTCCTAGTACTCTATGTTTGAATTTTTGTTCTCATAATTGGAATCCCTACTATTCTTATGTTCGTAGTTTTGCTTTGAGTTTCGGATTGACTTATCACTAAATTAAGTATATACAACATAAGTTCCAAAACCAATTTAACATAATTTAAAAAGAAACGTAAGAACCATAGTCTCAACCTACCAAGTAAGAATTTCCATTTAGTTTATTGTTTATCGATGAGGGAAGTTGATATGTTGTGTTTTTATCGGTTTTGAGTCTTTGTTTTCTTTCCTACATCATATGTTTTATGGAGTCAAAGTGTGTTTTTAGAGTATTTTAGTCTTTTATCGAGTCTTTACAGGTTTTGGGTTGCTTTGGAGGAAAACGAGCTGTTTTGGGTTATAAACACACTTTTGGAGATGCAGTTTCGTTTAGAAGTGTCATACGTTTGGTCTCAGATGGAATACTTCAAACCGTTAGATCTTTCTGAAGTTTTGACACAAGATAGATGAAGATGTTAGCTTGATTTTCCAAGTGTTTTGAAGGAAATCTAACGGTGCATTCAAAAGTTTTACCCAAATTAGTGAAGACAGGTCAATCTGGCGAAAGAATGAGGATATCTGAATTATGTAAATAAAATAGGAAATAATTTTTTTAAAATTTTGTTAATTATATTTTCGAAAATATGAGGATAAATTTGGGTTTTGATTTTTAAAAAACCTATTTCACCAAACTTTTTATATAAAAGTATATATAGACATTTATCCATTAAAACATCCTTTATTTCTAATTTTGCCATAAAATATCAATGTGTTGTTGTTGTTTCGAGTTTAAATATGTTGAAATTTTCAGTTGCTATTTCGAGTTTCTTGCCGTGTTGACTTCCATAACATATTAGTAACACTTCCTAAATTGTTTATTTATAATCTCTAGCAAAACTATACCGACATAATGTTTTCGTTATTTTTTTGGCTGTCAACATTTGAAATACTACTCCGCAAAGAAAATGTGGTGGGATATTAATTAGTAGTAATTGGCTTTTTAGGAAATAGGAAGGTGTAATGGTGTATGCATTTAAGAACAGACCCAAAGAGCTTTGAATAGTACTAGTAATAAAATTGGAAGTTATTTATATATATATATATATAAAGAAAAAGAAAGTTATTTCTATTTTTTTCTATTTAGGTTCTTAGGGTGACGAAGTGATGATGCTCACGGACAATTTTATAGCACCTAACATTTAATAGCTTTTATTAACTTATAGTCTTATACACACATACACAAACATAGACGAAGGTGTGAAAAAATGACATTACTTTATCGGGATTGATTCAATTGACGTCAAAAGCAACTAAATAATTAATTCAACATTTTGTTTTAAAAATTTGGTAAAAAAAACAAAAACAAATTAAAACTTATAACAGGTTATACATTGAGGTTTATATAAGTATAAGATTTTAAATACTCGCTTTTGGGAATTTTTTTTGGAGGATACGTATTCCTGATAAGACGGCTGGCCCTAAATGTGTAACCGTACCAATTTTAAAAATGCACTGTGAAATTAAATTTGGTATATTTATTTATATGGCAGTGATACTGGTCTTGGGATTTCAATGCATTTAAATGGAAGATTGGTGGGGTTATTAAATTGAAAATTAAATGATAGTATAAAAAAGTTTAAATGCATAGTAGTATAATAAACCTTAAATACCCAGGCCATTACTCATTCTGCAGTCTATTTTTTTTTTTTCCAAAATTTAATGCAAGTTTTTGTCGAAAATGTAATAAAAAGGTATGATTAAGATATTTGTGGATATCTGAGTTTTATACCAAAGCTTCAAATTTTCGATATCCAAAATAGATTAATCGGCTACAATGTTAAAAAACGGTGCCAAGAAAATACTCAAGATCAAGTATTTTCATTTATTACTTCATTTTAAAAAAAACTATTAACGTTTCAAATAAGCAGGCCCATTTATAGTATTTTGAGCCCATTATCTACGAAATTCGGCCCAACTTCATCTACAAGTCCCTTTTAAATTGGTGTATGAAAGGAAATGTTATCTATGTACTCCGTTAGTCCGTTTTGAAAATAAAAAACTCTAAAAGATGGAGAGAATTGAGAGGCCTTTATTAAAAAAGTTTTATAGTATCAGAATATTAACGTTAATGACTTACGGAGTAATGAGACTAGCTAGGGTTCAAGTATTTTCATTGCAATCTTAATTATGGTTGACCGTATATAATGATATTTTATATGGTATGGATATCCGGTATTTCGCATGTTTTGGAGATTCTCCAATTACAAAAAAAGCCTAAAATATTAACCAACACATTTCTGTTGAAATAGATCCCATAACAAGTGCGTCATGCATGCGTAATCATTGATTTTCTCAGCTTACCTTTTAAGTTTTTTTGAGTCATGAATCTCATGATTTATCTATGTTTGAATGTTATGGCGTTATTTTATTTTATTTGGAATTGTTAGCACTGTGCTTGGACCTTATGAGTGTGATTAGTTAGGTGATCAGGAAAAAAGTAACTATCACTATTAAGCAAATGTCCTACCAACCCAACCCAAGGATGGATAATATTGTTTGAGATCTCAAAATTTTCAAGATTAGGTGTCTTATTTGGTCTCTTGGAAAAATCTTGTTTAGGTGATTATTAGATTATTCTAATTATGATTTAATTGTGTTTCCCTTTTTAAACTTTAAAAATATTACCTGTTTTCATCTTATAGTATATCTAGTTATGAATTCTAAACTTCTAACATTTTTGAAAGATTACGGGTCAATCTTTGGCGCATGAGTTGTTTTCTAAATTAAGAATTCGGTTGGATTAGATAAGTCGTTGTTATTCATCTCCTATACAATAATACAGTAACAAACGCAAAAAGCGAAGCATATATATTTAAATAGTCTTATACAACTCGTAGAAAACCTAAAATTTTGTCAAATAAAACCATCACATAATTAATATTACAGTACGTAATGAACTGTCGTGCCAAAAATATACGAATATATATATATTATATATATATATATATGTGTCCCTATTATGATCACACAAAACACACACATGCAGAGCTAAAATCTGAACTTTAAAGTCAGTACACTCAAAATTGATATTGACGTATGTATTACCAATTAATAGCAACATGTGTTCTTTCATCATAATTTTATTTTATTTTACTTTTATGCCACAGTTTCCATCGTTTCGTTAAGGTCCATACTCCATAGGGACGTTGAAAATTTTATTTAATTTTTTCCACTCATTGTTGTCCTTTTTTTCTTAGTAAAGTTTTCCCACTCATACTTGTTTGTTCACCAACCTTCTGATTACCAAGAGTTGTATAAAAATGCAAAACTAATAGACCGTCATTTTTATATGTTGATCCTATAGACTTTTATCGACAAAATTTCCGAATTAATCATTTTGTAACTTCAATACAAACCCGTCCATCTTACTAATTCTTTCAACATTTTACACTAGTGAGCAATATTTATTCTTTTTCAAACATATTTTAACGAAATACTTCGTACGTATTAACTTCAATTATTGGCGATACTTAGTACTTTAAAATGTTTGGAGTAATATATGCAGTGATGTCTAATTGCTAGAACAATTTTGGTTGGGTACAGAGTAATTAATTAAGAATGAAGGTTTGGTGAACATAAGTAAGTAATTAAACGTAGCCAAGTGCCAACAACAACACCAAACCCACCAAACATTAAAAAAGTCAAAAAGACGTAAGTCTTTGACCTCTTCGACTCTCTTTAGTCTTTTAGTTTGGTGAGTTCGTGCACTATGCTCACACACACTCTTTACGCTTTTTGTTGTTACGGATGTGATTACAAATGACTTTATAAAACTTTCTTATTTTCTTCTCTCTCATTTTAATGTTATATTTAAGGATTATAAATTTATGTTTTTTTTTTAAATAAATTTATTTTGATAAAAGTTTCCTTAACTTTATAATTAAAAGTTTCTTATTTGTTCTGTCTCTAATTAATTTAAATGTTCTATTGTAGGATTATTATATATTTATGTTTTTTAAATATATATATGTATATATATTTTCATAAAAGTTTTCATTAATTAATAACGACTGTTGACAAAATGTGAAAATATTCCATGGCATGACGTATGGAGTGACTGCGTTATTACTAAACAGCATTATTAGTGAGAGTTCATTTTTCTCGCGTTGTACTGTATCTACATGAACATGATGATCACGGGATTATCTATTACAATTCCAAAGTTGGTAATTATACACTGAGTCTGATTACAGAAGACTAGCAGACAAAAAATAATATAATCAATTCCAATGTATACCTTAAGCTAATTCTTAATTAACAAGTTGCAGCTTTAATTTACAATCTTATTTAGTCAAAAAACACTACCTAATATTTTGCCACTTTATTATTACTCTACCAAATATTTTTATATAGATGTACATACATCTCTAATCATTCTGGCTGTAAATTCTTAAGAACATTTCAATTAACACTTGTCGACATGTAATTTTTTGTACATTAGCAAAATACTACATAAGATAATTAACACTTGTCAAATTTGATAATTATTACAAGAGATGCTAGTTTCCATTATTATTTGATGTCAAAGAAAGGAAGAAAATACTATTTAAGCTTTTTGCATTCTAAAACAAATGTGAAATAATATTCATGCATCGGTGTTAAAAAGAAAATATAAGTTGCATGCATCATAAGGATGCCAAATGAAGTAAAAATGAGAAAATGGAATCATACCAAATAATCAACCATACCACAGACAGACAACCTTTTTCCCACTCAACAAATCTGATTTGACATTTATCAATTTCTCTGTTTACATTCATCTTTCTCATGTCAAGAACACATTCTTACCTCTCTCATATATATATAAAATCTAGAACCATATTATCTTTGGTAAAAGTGAATCTCAAAAACTGAGTGATATAAAGCTATATATATATATATTGAGAGAGGGAGTGGGAGAGAGTGAGAGAGAGAGAGAATGGGGAAGGGAAGAGCACCTTGTTGTGACAAGACCAAAGTGAAGAGAGGTCCATGGAGCCCAGAAGAAGACCTAAAACTCATCTCTTTCATTCAGAAGTTTGGTCATGAGAACTGGAGATCTCTCCCCAAACAATCTGGTATGTTGCTGCTTTGTGTTAATTCAATGGATATCATAATCAAAGCAAAGCCTCTTCAATGGTTTTTTTCTATATGCAAAAAATGAAGGGCTATTGAGGTGTGGGAAGAGCTGTCGTCTAAGGTGGATTAACTACCTTAGGCCAGATCTGAAGCGTGGCAACTTCACTTTAGAGGAGGAAGAAACAATCATTAAGCTTCACCACAACTATGGGAACAAGTAAAAATCATCAGCTAGGCTTAATATATATATATATATTGTGCTGATATATGGTGGATCAAAATTAATAGTACTGATTTGGTTGCGTTCTGCATTTTGATCAGGTGGTCGAAAATCGCTTCTCAACTTCCAGGAAGAACAGATAACGAGATCAAGAATGTGTGGCACACTCATCTAAAGAAAAGAGTGGTTCAGAGGTCAGGAAGTGCAGATGAACCGGCCTCGCCTTGTTCGAGTGGTTCTGTTTCTCGTGGGAAAGACGATAAGTCGTCTCAAGTAGAAGATTATTTGAACAGAGAGAATAATCAGGAGTCTACATCTCTGTCTTCTGGTGGTTCCAACCATTCCAATCAACAAGATGATCCAAAGATCACGTTTGAGTATATAGAAGAAGCTTATAGTGAATTTAACGACATTATTCAAGAGGTAGACAAACCCGATCTGCTGGAGATACCTTTTGATTCAGATGCTGACATATGGAGTTTCTTAGATACTTCAAACTCCACTGCAAATGAGAACAGCTCAGGTTCAAGAACAACAGAAGAAGAGTCTGATGAGGAAGAGGTTAAGAAATGGTTCAAGCACCTGGAAAGCGAACTCGGGTTAGAAGAAGATGATAACCAACAACAACATAAACAGGGAACACAACACAAAGAAGAAGAATCATCATCGTCACTGTTGAAGACCTACGAGCTCATGATACATTAATGAAATCCAATTACTTTATGGTTTCTTCTATAAAATTAGATAACTTTATTTTCGATATCAACATATAATGCAAAGGTAGAGAGAAAATGTATTTGGCATTTTTATTTGTAGCCAGTAGATATATAAAACAGATCTGGTCAAAAGATACAATATACTAAAGCTTAAGACTAATTACTATCTAAAAGAAAGATTCTTTCTCTAGTCTAAAGAATCTTGAAGAAAATTGACTGATAGCTTCGTATTGAAATTTAGGTAGTCAAGTAATTTGAAGAAGAAAATTGGGTAGGATTTGTAGTTTAGTAATGCCCATCATCTAACAACCATCTTGAAACTGGAAACGACAAAACAAGAAGACCAGTTTGCTCTTGTTTGGAGATATATGGATTCATCAGCTGAAGAAGAAGTAAACAATCAACGAATTAAGGTAAGCAAAAGCAAGGTTTCTTTCTTTTTCCTCATGACTGAACAAGAAGAAGCTAATCATAAAAGAATGTTGCATCTAGCTCCGACTGTTTACCTGAATTTCAATGGAGACAGACAAAAAGTTGGAAGCTTATAAAAGATCTCAGTTTTGTCTTCCATGGCTTATGAGAAATATTAGTTTGCTTGAAATTGAAGAAACATGATTTAGAGAAGATATATATATATATTTTAGTTACCTTAAAAGAAATTAACTTCTTCTTTCAATTTCTTTATCACTGGTTCCACCACAGTGAAGGAAAATTGAGTTTTTGTAGATAAGTGACGGAATTAAGCTTTCCGATTTGCCACCTTCTCTAATTTCCACCGTCAATTCCTATAGCGTCGACTGAGGCCGCGATTACGGTGGAGGCGATGCGAATTCCGGTGAGAAATTTTTTCGATTCGGTGTCGGTTTAAGTTGTTAAAACGACACCGTTTGAGCAACGTTTAGAGTTTGAAAGTTTAAACCGATTGGTTTAATCTGATTCGGGTTCTTAAAACGATAAAAATAATGTCGGTTTATTTTACGATACTTTATAAAATATCAGCTTTAGTTTGCAAAACTATACTCTAAATTATTTTCCATTATTTCCTAAAACCCAAAACTTCCCGGTGTTTATTACTTTATTTTCCGGGTCAATAGCAACGGGTCGGACCATTTTTCCAGGGCTAGCTAGCTAGTCACCTCTCTAAACCCTGTTTTCCTGCTTCGAGAATTGACTTTAATTTCGCGACTCGAGATTTTCGATGGAAAAGTCCGTCGTAATCCGCCATGAAACCAGTGGAGACGACGTTGAGGGAGAAGCGGAAAGAGAAGCCGTCTTTGCGCAGCTGAAAGTTCTCTGCTTGGAGCTTCTAAACCAATCGCAAAACCCTGAAAAGGATCCGGCCACCATCCCTGCTTTGCTTCATCTCCTCCGCCGTACTCCTCCGTCCTCTCTCCAGTCTTTCTTCCAGTAATTATTCCACTTTTCTCGTATCTCTTTATCTTTTTACTTGTTTCTGCTGTAAAATTTGAGTTTTTATTACCCAGAAAATTCTTGATAAACGGTGATCTTCACATGAACGCCGATTGTTTTCCTTAGATACATTAGTAACAGTTTCAATTTTAAGGTTTAAAAGAGTTTATATATTTCGTTTGTGGTGTATTGTCGATTGTTTACTAAGTGTTGTGAACTGTTTTGGTTTATGTACGTTTCAGCTACACTTTGTTCCCATTGCTTCTTTTGTTAGACGCCGCAGTTGCTTGCAGAAGTCAGGGGAATAATCACCCTGATGAATTTCCAAAAACACCTCATAGAGTGAGTGATAAAGTGGCAGAAGGTGTAATCTCTTGTCTCGAGGAACTTCTAAAGAAATGTCACATTGGATCCATAGATCAGGTGAAGTGGTTTGGAATTCTCACATATCGTTTTTATGATTGTCTCTTACCTTCACTCGCTTGGGTAACATATTCTCAGCTTAGATATGGAAACTGTGTTGAATTTCTTTTCCGTACAGATGGTTGTAATTATGAAGAAGTTAACTAGTGCTGCTATTTTATCACCATCCAAGGCTGCTGAAGAGTTTCGTGAAGGGATCATCAAATGTTTCCGGGCAATGATTTCTGGTCTGCTTCCATGCTTTGATGATTCTTGCTCATGTAAGCGCACTGTTGGCTGGCCTCAACTGTCAGATAGAAGAGATTATCAAACTCAAGTTTCAGAGTCTTATAAGTATGATTTTGAAAATCGAGAATGCTTGCTTGCATTTCTTCAGTCTCAGTCTGCTTTGGCTGCTGTGGGTCATTGGCTTTCCATTCTTCTCAAAGTAATCCTCTTTTCTCCAATGCTTTCCTTTTTCTTTCACCTGGAGTCATGTAGTTATATACATTCTAAGGTATATCGATTCTGATCACTGCACAAGGTCGCTGATGCTGAGGCTTCTCGAGGACATCGAGGAAGTGCAAATCTTCGAGTTGAGGCCTTTATGGCTTTACGGATACTTGTGGCTAAGGTAACTTTTAAATTATGCATATATGGTTTGGACCATTTCTGGCACTCATGGGTCCTAATGAGAACATGATTCTTGTTGTAGATTGGTACTGCTGATGTGTTGGCGTTTTTTCTACCTGGTGTTGTTAGCCAAATTGCCAAAGTGTTGCATGTTTCGAGAGCAATGATAAGCGGAGCTGCAGGAAGTGTTGATGCATTGGACCAAGCAATTAGAGGGTTAGCGGAGTTTCTTATGATCGTCCTTGAGGATGAGGCTAATTCATCGGCTCTCGACATTTCTGATGATGATACTAAGTCGCAGAAGCATGAATCTGCACACTCAATTTTAGACGAACTTCGTTCTCTGACAACAAAATCTCAAGGGCAGAGCGTCGAGCTGACAGAAATTACAAACCAAGAGATTGTTACCATCAATGTACCTGAAAAATCCAATCTGAATCTGAGTCGTGACTCCTTTCATGTTGAACGTACGAAGAAATGGTTAGATAGCACTACATCTCACGTGAATAAGCTGCTGTGTGAGGCATTTCCTCATGTATGCTATTTTTTCTCGTGCTACTTTCAACAAGTTTATCCCAAATCCCTTTGGAGCTGTTTTTTCTTAGTGGTAAATCTTAATTGGTTTCAGATTCTTATTCACCCAGCCGGCAAAATTCGATGGGGATTTCTAGCAGCAATACGTGGATTGCTATCTAAGAGCTCTTGCTCGTTGAAGGGTGCTAGATTAGTGATGTTGGTAGGTTCATAGCTAAACAACACATGATATTGGGTATATCCATTCCAAGGATTGCCACCATATAAATTCCTTATAATGATGCAGGAATGCGTATGTACTCTGGCTGTCGATGACTCCGATGAAGTTTCTGTAGCAGCTCAGGAATTTCTCGATGATTTATTCTCCGAAAGTACAAAATACCATGTAGAGAGTGATATAATTAAGATCTTTAGCAGGTATTGCTATCTTTGTTGTATATTGTTTCTTTCCTTTGAAGCTCAGTATGCAGATCTCTTAACATAGATGTGTGTTTTATTCTTCTTCCATGGCTTGTTTATGACAACAGACTACTTGAGAGGCTTCCAAAAGTGGTTCTGGGGAATGAGGAATTGCCTGCACTTTCGGTGGTTAAGCAGTTACTTGTCATCACTTATTATTCCGGTCCTCAGTTTTTGGCGGATCATCTTCAGTCTCCCGTATGTATTCTTTCTTGACACGGTCATAGGTTTGGTGCCACTTCTTTCTTGAATAACAAATCTAGTTTCAAAAACATGATCTAATAATGTCTTGTGATATATGATTAGTTCTTGGCATTCTGTTATGTAGATAACAGCTAGCAGATTCCTGGATATATTTTCTCTCTGTCTGAGCCATAATTCAGCATTCACCGGTTCTCTTGAGAAACTCATCGCAGAAAGGCCTTCATCATCGACAGGTTACCTCCCTTCTATCACAGAACTAAAAGTGGGGTTCCGGGAGACCAGATACAACCGTGCTGTTCCAAATATCACAGAAACAGATCTAGTAAAAATGGAGATATCGTCCCCCACTAGCTATATGTTACCTCGCATGCCTCTTTGGTTTTCTTATGTTGGTAGCCAGAAGCTCTACGAGATGCTCGCTGGAATTCTTAGACTTGTAGGCTTATCCTTAATGGCAGGTCATTTCATATTCCTTTGGAACCATTTTTCTGAAAATTACTCTGCCGTTAACTTATTAATGAGTTAGTTACTAATAGTAAATCATCTCCGTTGTGTTTGTGTTTGATAGGATTTAAAAACGAAGGGCATTTAGCAGTCATCCTGGATATTCCTTTGGGGGTTGTCCGTAAATTGGTTTCAGAAGTTCGTGTAAAGGAGTATAACGGAGAAGACTGGCAGTTGTGGTGTAATCGAACTGGTTCAGGACAATTAGTTCGCCAGGCGGCAACTGCTGCTTGTATCTTGAATGAGATGATCTTTGGTCTATCGGATCAAGCAATGGATGCTCTCTCAAGACTGCTTCGGAAGTCAAGAAAGGGAAGAGACAAACTTTCCTGGGAAATCTCATGGAACAAACGTGCAAAAACAAATCTGATTGATTGCGTTGGTAAAATCCTGCATGAATACCAATCTTCTGAAGTTTGGGATCTCCCCGTGGACCAAAAGACAATTCTGGGCCAAACCGATACCGATGTGCAACATATTAGTCTGCATTTCTTAAGAGATAGTGCAATGCTACAGCAAGTTATAATAGAAGGAATAGGTGTGTTTTCCTTGTGTCTAGGGAACGACTTTGCTTCAAGTGGATTTCTTCACTCTTCGCTTTACCTTCTGCTTGAGAGTCTTACCTGCTCGAGCTTCCAAGTTAGAAATGCTTCAGACGCTGTCCTACGTCTTCTTGCTTCCACCTCAGGCCACCCCACAGTGAGAATTTATAATAATGTAATCGGAATATACAGTCACATCATAAATCGTTTTAAAATTCAAAACTTGCTGTTTTTTGTTTGTTTGTTTGCCAGGTTGGGCATCTGGTTGTTGCAAATGCGGATTATGTTATTGACTCTATTTGTCGCCAGCTGCGCCACCTGGATCTTAATCCTCATGTCCCAAATGTTCTAGCTGCTATGCTTTCTTATATCGGGGTTGCCCATGATATATTGCCTTTGTTGGAGGAACCGGTAAGGCCATTTGCAGTGAACCGTTTTTTCTTTCATGAAAATTGCCTCTGTTGGATCTTTATCACCCTCCGATCCATATTCAGTGTGTTAAGAACTCTCTTTTTCCATTTTGGGATCTACAGATGCGATTGGTTTCTCAGGAACTTGAAATCGTTGGTAGACAACAGCATCCAAATCTAACTTTACCCTTCTTGAAGGTAGATTCAATCTTTCATTTTTTCTATTGAAGTCTTTTAAAATCATTGGCTTTCTTGTCTAAGAAACATCATAACCTTTTTTGGTGCTTCTGCTAGGCTGTTGGTGAGATTGTAAATGCATCGAAGAACGAGGCTTGCTTATTACCAGAACGAGCCAAGTCATATAGTGACCATGTTAAGGCCAAAGCAACTGATGCGATAACATCAAGGCAAGAGAGAGGTTCAGATTCTAACAAAATAGTTGACGACGAAGAAGAATGGGAAAACACACTGCTTGAATTGAATCGTTCTAAACGATACAGACGCACAGTTGGATCAATCGCCTCTTCTTGTTTAATAGCGGCCACGCCTCTCCTAGTATCATCAAATCAAGTCTCGTGCTTAGTTTCCCTTGATATAATTGAGGTATTATTCCTGTCGGATTAGTTTTTCTTGAGCTCTCTCTAGGACATTTCCGCAAGCGAACTAAATCCGTAACTTTCCAATTATACAGGAAGGAGTAGTGGCACTGGCTAAAGTTGAGGAAGCTTATCGAGCTGAGACAGAAACCAAAGAAACAATTGAAGAAGTCATTGAATATGCTTCACTCTATCAGCTTAAAGACTACATGAATGCAAGCGACGATGGAGCAGATGAAAACCGGCTTTTACCCGCTATCAACAAAATCTGGCCATTCTGTGTTGCTTGCATACGAAACAGAAATCCCGTGGTACAATCTCTTTCTACCTCTTCTGATTGTGTCTCTAGATTAATAGATTAATAACCTGCTGCATTTTCCACAGGCTGTGCGGAGATGCTTAGTCGTGATAACCCGAATCATTCAAACATCCGGAGGAGATTTCTTCTCACGTCGTTTCCGCAACGATGGCCCGGACTTTTGGAAGCTTTTAACAACGTCTCCATTCCACATTATGACGCCGAAGAACCTCCGGGAAAACAACAAATCGGCTCTCCGGCTTCCTTACAGAGCCATTTCCGAGTCATCTTCTTTGATTGCTGAAGTTTCCAGCTTGAAAGTGCAGGCTGCACTTCTCGATATGATCGCTGAGCTTTCCAGAGATAAACGCAGTGCTTCAGCGTTAGATGCAGTCTTGAAGAAAGTTGCAGGATTGGTCGTTGGGATTGCGTGCAGCAGCGTAACTGGTTTAAGAGAATCGGCTTTGAATGCGTTGAGAGGATTGGCTTGCATTGATCCTGATCTCATTTGGATCCTCTTAGCTGATGTGTATTATTCTCTCAAGAAGAAAGATTTGCCTCTTCCACCGTCTCCGGGGTTTCCAGATATCTCTAGGGTTTTGCCTTCACGGCCGGCAGAAGATTCTCAGACAAGGTTTCTGTACGTAGAGTACGGTGGTCGAAGCTATGGTTTTGAGTTGGAGTTTAGCTCCGTTGAGATAATCTTTAAGAAAATGCAGTCTCTTGTCTTTGTAGACCAAATGCATTGTTAATACTTTGCTTGTAGTAAATACTTTTTCTGAAAACATGAGTAGAAAATAATTGCTAATATATAGTTCAAGACTTCAAAGTAACATTGAGCAAAGCTAGTAAAATGGGATTTTAATTGTATTGGGGTAAAACGTCGGGGGCCAGATGCAAAATAGAAAAGAGTAAGGGGTTTAAGTGTAATTTTTGGCATCGAGACCCGACCCGACCCGGGATTACGAATTTTGATCTCGGGGGCCAAATAAATATGTCAGCTCCTTGACCGATCTATTTTTTTAGTCCGTCGGGAAATAATGGGAAGCGAACGGAGCCCCAAGGAGAAGAAGAGAAGCAGAGCTCGGAGCGAAGATTCTTCATCTTCCGATTGTATGTTCTTCTTCTTCTTCTCCTCTATGTATATACTTTTTCTTCCGTTTCCCGAGAAAATCCATCAATTTGCTTCTCTGGTTTCTTTAGTTTTGGGGTTTCAGTCATTGTGATTTATCTATCCGTGTAAGTTACGAGCATCATAGCTATTTGAGTATGTGTAGTTGGCGTTGAAATTGTGACTTATTGTTGTGTTTGTGGATGACATAATTCTGATACTTTTTTGATTTATGAATGGACAGACGAAGGGAAAGTAAAGAGGCATCGAGGAACAGATAAAGATGATGAAAGGAAAAGTAGGAGAAGTGAGAAGAAGGATAAGAAATCTCACAAGCACCACAAATCCAGTTCATGTATGATTTTTGTTTCTCATGTTTGTAGTATGATTAATTTGATGTGTTTGCTTCTTCATCTTGTTGGTTTGAGCTGTTACTTTGTTGTTGCTTCTGACATCTAGTGAGTTGGAGTTTTCTTTTTCTTGTATGCCATTAACGGATCATCAATTTAGCTTTGTCCTAACTATGTTCTCCTAGAGAAGAAAGAGGTTGTAGTCGAAACCTGTTGGTTAGCGGGATTATAGGCTGCAAGAAAGTATCTTTTTTTGGTTACATCTACAACGACTATTTATCTTTCATTAGCATGATTTATATTTCCTGTGGCTTTGCTTTTCACTATGATCTGTTTTTCTTGCGGCTGACATTGTTTGATTTTTACAGCAAAGAAGTCAAAGGATGATAAGCCAAAAAAGAAACACGCTGAAGGCGACCACAAGCTAGTGAGCTCTAACTTACCCTTCGAAATATATACTCATAAAGTCATAATAACATCTGATTGTATATTTACTCCAAGTATATTGCTTTGGAGACTCTGTATTTGTAGTTCTTCGCAGGCCTCTTCAGTTGTTTAGTCATGGTTTAATTACAAGTCTTGTTGCCCTATGACGGATTGTCATCCACATTGAGATTCTAATAAAATGTTTTTTCTTTTCCGTCTTTTTTCTTCCAGAAAGAGGGGATTCCAGAGCTATCAATGGAGGACTACTTCTCGAAGAACAACGAATTTGCTACATGGCTGAAAGAAGAAAAGCGTACTTACTTTAATGATCTCACGACCGAAGCTGCACGAGAATTGTTCTCACGTTTTGTCAAGATATGGAACAGAGGGAAACTCGAATCTCGATACTACGAGGGAATCTCCACTGCCCCACGAACAGCTCACAACTGGATGATCAAGCATAGGTGAAAAAAGCAGTACCGTCCTCTACTGTGGTTCATCGGTCACCTGTCTTCTTGCTTCTTGTACACTTGCAGGTTGATGGTATCAGAGATATATCTCTATCTAGTTATTCTACTTAGACCTCTTGTTACAGAACTAGTTAGATAGATTGTCAGTGGAGAGATATATAGTCGGTTTTTCAGAGTAAGAAAAACTTTACATATTCAAGGTTGCTGAAGAACTATCTCTGATGAATCGTTATGTAACATTCCCTCATCCAGTTATCGCATTCCACTGGATTTTGATTTAAATCCGGTCTTTGACAGTATGTATCTTCCTACTGCATTTACAACATGGTGTATAGCTTTGGCTAAGTGATTGTGTGCATGAATTTTGGTTATATGAAATTGGATTATCACAAGAGAAACATTTTTTAATGAGTTAAAAATACAGATTCTAAATTATTGGGTCACAAGTCTTAACAAATTCCAAAAGTTCTACAAAAGCAAGAACCATCAACTCTGAGAGTATATTGAGATTAAAATCCGGTTGGTTGCATGGTTAGGTCAAAGTTTACTCGACTTCAGCCAAGTAATCATCGATTTCTGCTGGTGTTAGCACCCTGCATATAACATTCACTTTTCAGATATTGATGGCAATAACAAAGATTATTGTTTATATTAGTTTGTAATCTTGAACATTTTTTACCTGAAAACTTTGTCAGCACCGATTTTGCCAATCTCGATGTTTTTGCTCGAGATTTCTCCCTCGAAACTGTGAAAAGAAAGACAGAGGTTATAGGCTTTTGTGAAATTCAGAAATATGGAAATAAAGTAAATTAAGTTTTGGTAAAAAATGCTCACCCTTCCTTCAATGTCAATATTGCCGTGTGAATGGCATCATCAAGTTCCATATCTTCTGTGTACCTGATCAAAGACTAAGATGAAAAGACATGCTTCCACGGTCATAAATTCATCATCACAAATGGTAAATTATTATCACCTCTTCTCAAGAAACGTCTTTGCATTCGAAACATTCTTTCCCATTGCAGAAGCTTTCCATGAGAAATAAGAGCCAGATGGATCCACCTAGTAGAAAATGAAAAATATGAAATAAGATGTTTTCAATTTATGGGTTGAAGACTTTTGGCAGGATGGTTATATTTTCTTTAAAGCTCTACATACTTGATACAGTTGTGGACCCTTGTCATCATACCCAGCCACCAGTAGAGAAACTCCAAACGGCCTAACACCACTGTTAATAGCAGAAGGAGACGGAAATTAGAAGCAAGATTCAGTAGTCTAGTTTGTGAATACAGATTTGCATTAACAACATTATCTCACGCCAAATCAATATCAAAACTGAGCTTAGAAGTGCATAGAGACTCGCTCTAAGTTGCAATCTATGAGCCAGTAACTCTTTTTAACCCTCTTGAGCATATGGGAGGAAGTAACCATATAGATATTGTAATACACACTCTCGACATAGTACTTACCCCGATTGAGTGAACTCTTGCATCACTGTGGCAGTTTCCCTTACAAGTTGAGTAACGGGGATGGGTTCCTGCAACAATAAAACCTCCTTAGAAGTTGAATCAACAGAGCTAACGGGATTATAAATAAGCAAGAACTTATATGAAGTGGAATCATCAATCCAAAGTTTCTCCAAACAAACAAAGATTGAAGATTTATCATACATGTACTAGTATATACTCCAGGAAAAGTAGACAAAAAATAGAAGATATTTAAGATTACCTTGTACAATCGGAGATATTGCTCAGCCTGCTTCCTACTCTTTCGCACAAGAACTCGGAAATCAGGACCCATACCACTACATAAAAGGCAATACCAAAGTTAGCACTGAAATTATGAGGGCACAAAGGAAAAGGTTGTTTTCCATCAATAGCACTAGCACCTGATGAGAGATACAAAGTACCCAAAACAAAATGAAAAATCCTCTGATAAATCCAATTTTCAGGCTATAAAAAAGAAGAAGTACGGATAGCTGTGGAGAAGAACCTGTAAACAGTCCCAATGTTGGGAGTCAAATGCTGAATCTTTTGAACCTGAAACAGAGATTGGATAAAAACATTAGTTTCGTAGGAGTTACTGAAAGTATGCAACCGAAAGAAAAGTACCAAACGCAGGCATAGAAAGAAAACGAACTGATATTGCTATAAAATTTTACAGAACATGTTGACCACAGAAAGAGATAATCAAACTTACAGACGCTTCATCAACCAATATAGAAGGAAGTTTCTTTTCTGTTGCAATGACAACTCCATTTGAAGCTGCAGAAAGAAAACCACAGTCATGAATATCAAAGACAATGTTCCTTAAAAATATCCTCTCGAATTTGATAAGATCATTGACAAAACCTTTAATTCCGAGAGATGTTTGGCCTGATCCAACAGCTGTTAGGGCATGTTCTATCTGAACCAGCTTCCCTGATGGGCTGTTTCAACCGAAATTAAACCGGGAAGAAACCGTTGGAAATGCTCAGAAAGAGATTACATTTATATACATATGATAAAAAAAAGTTTATACCTGAAGGTGGTGAGAGAAAACGAGTACTGACTGTCCCCCATTCAAAACCTTAAGCAAGCTGAAGTTCTGCAAAAACCAAAACTAATTAGTAGAACAAACTTAAATAAAACGTCTGAGCAAGTAAGTACACTGAAGCGTTCAAATCTGACAAAGCTTAACGCGGAAGAGTCGTAAGGAAAACGATGAAAAAGACAAGATAACAACGCTAATTAAGAATTGTGAGGAAATCAAATCAAACTCAAAGATCAGTTCTTAGCTCAAACTCAGAGACGAAAATTGACAACTTTTTCTTAAACCCAAATTCAATATTAATTCAGTTTTCAATTCAGATTCAACAAAAGAAACCCATTCAATCAAGCAACAAACCTTTGATATATGGATCGAAGAACGGAATGGCCGCAAGAGAAGAGAAGAGAGATGACCCAAGTGAAGAATTTTAAGCTCAAGGTTTTCTTGCACAAAGGGTGGAGTCTTGAGAAAGACAAGCAAAAAAATAAAAAAGAGAACAACGAAACGGCGACGTTTTGTCAACTTCACACTTACAGTATATTGCAAAATACTCCAATATTTTATATTTAGTTTCGTTTTGACCACATTATTTATTTACTCGCAAAGCTGGTCCGAACTTCCTGCTTCTCTGTGAAGAATTCTTGAATTGCCTGAAACCCATGGTGGTAATTATTCCACTTTTTCTAGCTAGTTTTTCGTTTCGGTAATTGGATGGAAGAAGCATCTCAGATACGCGTCGTGTATATGTCACTTTTTGTGTTGTTGAGGTAGAACCATTGTTGAAAATTTGCTCCTTTATTTCTCCAGTTTCTTAGTCTCTTGATTACGACCTTGAAATGCATTCGACCGGGAAGAGAAATTTCTTAGCTGTTATCAGATTACTGTTTACTAGTTCGAGTTTGATCAGAAAGGCTGGTTTTAGAAATTCCTTGTCTGCTACCTTTGCCACCAGGTGTTCGACGTTATGCCTGAACGACGCTGACAAATGCATTGTGGATTCTGAGCTATCGGTTGTATCGTCTAGGAGAGTGAATCACATAAAAAAAGTTGAATGCGTTGGTGAAAAAGAGAAAGTGAGAGAGATTCCTAGTAGTCCTTTACAAGTTCTACGAAGATGGGGTTGTGATGATGATGAAATATCAAAGCTTTTTACTCGTAGGCCTGCTTTGCAGAGAGCCAATGTTGCTCAGCTAGAGTTTAAGTTAAGCCTTCTTAAGCCGCTGGGGATCACGTCTTCAGACCTTGTGAAGATTCTTAATTGTCGTCCGAGATTCTTTAGTTGCCGTATTCACCTTGTCCTTGATGAAAGAATCAACTACTTCATGGAGATTTTGGGGTCAAAAGAGGTGTTGCGCAGAGTCATTATCCGGAATCCGTCACTCATGTTGTATGACCTCGATGACAAGATCAAACCCGCGATAGAGTTCTACAAAGGGCTGGGCTGTAGCCAACAGGATCTTGTCACAATGTTGATATCCCGACCCACGTTGATTCCAAGGACAAACTTTAACAAAGAGAAGTTTGAATACATTCAGAAAACTGGGGTCACAAGAGAATCCAAGATGTTTAAATATGTTGCAGCCATCATCGGGGTCTCGAGGATGGAGACAATCGAAGAGAAAGTTAGAAACTTGGAAAAGTTTGGGTTCTCGGAAGAAGAGATTTGGCATCTGTGTGGAAAATGCCCAATCCTTCTCTCTCTCTCAGTTGAGAAAGTACAGAGAAACATGACTTTCGTCATAGCCTCGATGAAACTTCCAGCTCATTCCGTGGTTAAGCACCCTTGTTTGCTTCTCCTCAACCTCGAGTCTCGTCTAAAACCTCGTGCGGATCTCGTTAAGAGAGTCTTAGAAATGCGTCTGAAGCCACTAATAAAAGAAGTGAACATTTTCACAGCGCTAAGGATGAGCGAGAAACGGTTCTTGAAGGTTTATGTAATGTGTCATCCAAAAGATATTGCAGACGAGCTGATGGAGTTTTACGAGAAATCCAAAAACATGAAACGTTTGGCTGAGAAATACAAGAAATACATCCGTAAAGGATTCCCCTTTTGAATATCTCTTTTTCCATTTTTTTTTTGTTTCTTTGAATTTGTTCACTCAAAATGTAACATTGTGCAGAGAAATTCACATTGCAAGATTTGATAGAATAATGAGCTTTATCAATGATGTTGATACATCATTTGGTTAGGTTTGATGCTGTTTTTATCGAGGTTACAATCGCTTGTCTTTCTTGCCTTCTTGGTTTGGCTTGTCTTTCTTTACGGTTTGGCTTTTGAATGGGTTCATTTGATACAGTTTTGGTTTAGTTCAGCTTAGTTAAACCGGAATAGAAACACAAACGCGAAAAACCACGTTTAGTGAAACGGCCGAAAACGCCCTAGACGTGTCTCTCTCTTCCAGACCCTTTCGTGGCGGCAGTGACAAAATCCTCTTTATTGATAAAAACGTTTGCAAAGTTGCAATCTTTTTGGGGTTAGTAGTTGAAGAGAATCAATCTGACAGCTAAAATTTTTTGGCGTCTTTCTAAATCTCTGTTTAGTTGCATTGTATCTCGAGAATTGAGGTGGATATGGCCTCGACCCTTTTCTCCAGAAGTTTCTTGGCTGCTAGTCACCGCATGATTACTCCTTCTCTTCCACAAAAGATCTTTAGTCCCGCCACCTTTCTCAGTGTAAGTCGATATCGAATTTGATTTCCGATCTGTTCTCAATTGGCCATTCGTTTGACCGCTCTTTAGCTTCTGGGTTTTGAGAGTGTTCCTGGATTGGTTTCGAGCGTTTGGATTGTTTCTATGATTTGACAGTGGTTCTAGTGGGCTTTCGAGCTTTCGAAAGGTTGAATAGACTATAGAGAATTACATAATTGTTGAATGTCAATCGATGCTTTTCTTATCAAAGTTGTTTGAAATTGGACTCTGAGTTTTGTAATCTCAGAAATTAGGTAGTGAAATTTTATGTAAATTGCTAAGTTTATCAATCTGACTCTTTTCTTTTTGATGGTAATTGCTGAAGAGATCATTCTACTCTCAGCTAGGCACCGCTTCTACAGCATATAAATCAAGCACATGGGCTCGTCGAGCCATGGCTTCTACTGGAGTTGAGACGAAAGCTGGTTACTCGACATCATCCATATCAACCAGTGAACCTGTTGTTTCTGTTGATTGGCTTCATGCTAATCTTAGAGAGCCTGATTTAAAGGTCACTGCCCTTTCTGCTAGTTCATTTCTTCAAGAATATGTCTGTCATACTTAAACTTACCTGTTTCTATTCTACTCAGATTTTGGATGCTTCATGGTACATGCCAGATGAGCAAAGAAATCCAATCCAAGAATATCAGGTGAGAGTATCAGCATATAGATATTTGAGAAGCTCTTGATTTTCACAAATGTTTGGGTTGTACTCGTTCTGGATGAGCGCAACCACACTTAAGTAGTAGCGTTAGTACACTACTTGATACTGACGGACTTAAACTGTGTCCTCTCCTATAGGTCGCTCATATTCCCGGCGCTCTCTTCTTTGATTTGGATGGAATATCAGATCGAAGAACTAGTGTAAGTATCACTATCTTTTCTTTTATGGAAGATGTATCCGTGTAGTTTCCTTTTTGAAGTTCTCACTTCACATTGATATCGATTTTATGCAAAAGTGAAACCTTATCGATATATGTTATCTTCCTTTGCTGCCATTTTCAAGATTATTTATACAGCATATAGCTGTTTCTTTTGTGAGATCAAATGAAAATTCAGGACTCTTTGCTTTTCATATATGTTATTATGTGTTTTCATGAAGACTTCTCTTTTCCTAAATCTTATTTGTAAGGCAACCATCTAAAGTATTGTATGATATATCAACTACTTGTAACAGTTGCCACATATGTTACCCACTGAGGAAGCTTTTGCTGCTGGTTGTTCTGCTCTTGGAATTGATAACAAAGATGGAGTGGTTGTCTATGATGGAAAGGGGATCTTTAGTGCAGCTCGTGTATGGTGGTGAGTTATGGTCTCGTTTGTTCTTTAAATCCTTCTGCTTTGTCCTGTGTTTTTACCGGGTATGATATGTACTTCTTTATTTTACCCTTAAATAGGATGTTCCGAGTTTTTGGACATGAAAAAATTTGGGTGCTCGATGGAGGTCTACCAAGATGGCGTGCATCAGGTTATGATGTTGAATCTAGTGCATCAGGTGATGCTATTCTGAAAGCCAGTGCCGCAAGTGAGGCTATAGAGAAAATTTATCAAGGACAAACCGTAAGTCGCTCTTTTGGATAATGGTTTTCTAGTTCGTATTTCTGTAGATTCATGATGAGATTTGAGCAGTAAAGATTTGTTTTTTGTCATATCAATTTTCTCTCTCGTGGTTGCACAGGTCAGTCCGATAACCTTTCAGACAAAGTTCCAGCCACATCTAGTGTGGACACTTGATCAGGTTGGCATTGCCTGAATGGTTCTGTCTTCGCATTAATCTTATATGATTTAATCATATCTACTATCATTCTGTCTATTGATCCATAAATTTGAATCTTCAAAAGAGAATCCTAAAGAAGACCCAACTTCAAGTTCTTTAATTTGGTCTATTTTAGTACATATTTTTCAGAATTGTGATTGTGATAGTTTCAATTCTACTATAGTTCAGTATGTTTGGTAGATTGATGTCTGTAGATACTTTGTTTTGAGTTTGCAATTGTGTTATAATATCTTGTTCAGACTCTTATTTTATGTCATGACTCTCTTTGGTGAATTCACAGGTCAAGAAAAATATGGAGGATCCGACTTATCAACACATAGACGCTCGTTCCAAAGCCAGGTACTATAATTTACCGAGTAATAACTTGTTTCAACTGATGATGGATTTTTCTCTAAGTACTAAGTTGATACTCAATGTAGCATTTTGATTATATTACGGGTTTTATCACAGGTTTGATGGTACTGCTCCAGAACCCCGTAAGGGAATAAGAAGCGGCCATATACCTGGAAGCAAATGTGTCCCTTTTCCTCAGGTAAAGCCACCCTAGAGAATTTGTTTCCTTCCCTCACTTCCTCTGCATCTTGTCCCCAGAGTTAATGTGACAAATTCCTTCTTTCTGCAGATGTTTGATTCTTGTAACACACTGTTACCAGCAGAAGAGCTGAATAAACGATTTGAACAAGAAGGTAAACTATTTCATCTTGAAGAAAGAGTTTCACAATTTTACTTATATAAAGCATTCAGTAGTAAGATCTCAAGGCTTTTTTGGTGCAGACATCTCACTGGACAAGCCTATTATGTCCTCGTGTGGGACTGGCGTAACAGCTTGCATCCTGGCAATGGTAACTTTTTTTCTTATTTGAGATTATATGTAAAAGGTGAGGAGACTGACTTAGTGACTTGCTCTGTTAGGGGCTTCACCGGCTGGGGAAAACCGACGTGCCGGTCTATGATGGGTCGTGGACTGAATGGGCGACGCAACCAGACTTGCCCATAGAGAGTGAAGAATCTTCTTCATGAAAGTGTCCACGGTAAAGACTAGCGACAAGATGACAAGCCACAGACGGAAATAATGATCATGTTTAAGTTGAGGGATTGGTTTGAAGTAATCATAATCCTGGCTTTAAATTTGCCTCAACCCTCAAGTCGAAGAGGACTGTATCTATAGAACTTGGATTTTTTTCCTTTTCGTTTCTGGATTCATCTTCTTCAGATAACAAAAGGATATGTTTTTCTTTCTAATAAAATCAAGAAACAGGAAATTGCTTAACGATTCTTAAACAGAGATCTTGAAACAATAATAAACACGTTTTTTGAGTAGATGGTTAACGTTCAGATAATACATAGATGTCACTAGTCACTATACACCACGTGAAGCGAAGAATATGTTAATCACTGTATATATAGCACATCAATAGACTTATATCAAGAATGACCGCGTGGCCTAATGGATAAGGCGCTCGCCTCCGGAGCGGGAGATTGTGGGTTCGAGTCCCACCGTGGTCGTTACTTTTTTTTACAGCCTTACACAACTCTTTTACCTAGCCACCTTGAACTCCACCCTACAATCATGTCCTGTAACAGATTAAATTTGTGGACAAGTTATGCCGTTAGAAACCAAAAGTAGGATACTTTATTGATTCTTAAAAAAAAAAAAACTACTATTCCAAGCATTGAACTATTTTATTATGTTAAAAGCCTCAATTGCACTTTGACGGACCCAATCCATAGGCCATAGGCCATAGCCCAGAACTTCATGATGGACTATACCATGGCCCCCATAAGTATTAGATCCATTTTATTATTTTATCTAAGCGTCATTAGTTACATTTTGATTGTTTATTTACCCATTTCGTGGCTTGAACGAAACTATACTCACAAATGTAATTGGCTTATTAAATTAACTATTTATTAGCATAATGAAACTATTTAAAACATAAGACGAAAATTACATTTTATGGAGATTAATTCACAGATTTTAGGATTATATAACACTTTAAATTTTTTTAATTAACAGTACAAGAAAGAGAGTAATATCAGTAACAACAACTAACAAGCGGGTTACGTTTTTAAAAATAGGACCATACTGAGTAATATCAGTAACAACAACTTCATTGTATGCCCCAGAAGATTTATATTGATTAGTTTTATTCTTAAAACATGTCTTTCATTACATGACTAGAAAGGACTGTATATGCACATATTTTACAGAGATAAGACCATATTTTACCAGCACCAAACACAGGTCCGCCAAGACCAGCAGCATCAGAGACCTTGTCTTGAAGTTTGTCAACTTGAATCTCACCTTCGTCTTCCTTTGACTTTATATCAAGCTTCGTCTTGTTTTGACCCCATCGGCTCTGCTCCTTGTGCTCCCGACATTGTTGATACCGATCTTTCTCACTCAGTTTCCCGTTTTGTCCCCACAAAACCTTATTTATACCCTCAAGCCGTGCTATTGAAACCTGCCACCTGGCCAAGACGTGGCAGTTCTTCAGAAGTCTAGTCCAATCTTGTTGGTCACGTGTCCTAAGAGCCAAAAAGGACTAGACTTTGATCCTTAGCATCTGTTGGATTTACGTTTCTTGATGTCTTCTCGAACTTGCTTCATAAAGAACCGTCTAATGACGGGTACTTCACACCGAGGAGGCTCTTCACTCTTAGAGTCAACCAATTGATCTGTTATCGATGTTCCATGTAAGTCCAATGCTTTCATTGTCTTCGTACCAGCGAGCTCAGGAGACGCTGTGACATTGGTGCAACCACGAAGATACAAGTACTTAAGTTGTGCCAGTTTCCTTAGCGTTGGAGGAAGGTTCACAAGCTTGTCACAGCCAGACATATTGAGGTAACGAAGCTTTGATTTTTCCCCTACCGTTGAAGGCACTGCTTCTATTGCTGTTCTGTTCAGATTCAACCATTGTATGTTTGTTCCGACTTCTGGAAATGATGTTACGTTTGGACAGTTTGCAAGGCCGAGATCAATGAGAGACGTCAGGTTCTTGATGTTGTGTGGGAGATTCATCAGTCTCTTGCAGCCGGAGAGGCGTAGCTCTTTGAGACGAGAGAGGCGCTCGATTGATGGTGGTACATATTGGATGGTTGTCTCGTTCAACAGCAACTTCTCAATGGTCTCTGAGATAAATGGAAACTCTTCCAAACAAGAGCATCCGTCCAGATGAAGAAATCTGAGGGATTTTAAGTTGATGTTGTTTGGGAGGTTCCTTAGTTTCTTGCAGTCGCTCAGTTTTAGGTGGACGAGTTTGTTGAGTTGTGTAAGAGAAGACTCAGGGATTTCCACCAAGTTATTACAATTATAGAGTTTTAGAGTCTCAAGATTAGTCGCCTTCGAAAGGTCTGGAAACTCAGTAAGGTGCTTGCAGCTTGTGAGGTTTAGGCTCCGTAAGTTTGCAAGGTCCTGCACCATTATAACATAGAGAAGAAAGCATCAGAAAGATTCATTCAATAGGAGAAGACGGAGCTCATGTGGATATACCGCATCGAAATGGTACCTGAGTTCCATTCCACGCTGTTTCTATTGAGCTGTGTGAGAGGTTGAGTTCAACTAGAGAGGTCATACAAAACTGAGATGGTAGTGATTTAAGATTATAAGCATCCCAGCGAAGATACCGCAGCGTAGGGAGGTAGTCGAGGCCATCTATCATCCTTGTCCTGCTCTGTTTAATATTGGAATGGGAATAAAATTTAAGCAGTTTGAGATTTGGCCTCCTGCTAAAGATTTCAGGGGTTTTGTTAAGCTCATTTCCTTTAGATATGTCGAGAAATATGCTTTCCACCTCAATTGCTTCATCCCCCTATAGATAATGTAAACATTCAAATCTCGAGAGATGCAAGAATGAGACATAAGAGAGATTAATAAAGATCCTCAGCTTACCACATTTAGGCCTCACTAAACCTAAGACCGGCCCTGTCAAAATCCCACAGCATTAAACGTTTCCATGGCTTTTCATCTTTGCCTTCACATATAATATCCTCGGCCATGTCCTGGAGCAAGTTATGAACCCACAGCCGATTTGTGTTTGACAAGCCAATCATACACTTCTCCGTCAGAGCTATAATACTCGGCCTGGTGGGCAACGCTCGGCGCCTGGAAGACACGAAAAACAGGTTCAGTACTTTTCTAACTCTGTCCATACTAACTCTGTTGAAACAAAGTGCAATGTAAAGAAAGATCTTCTTTTCTAGCTCATCCAATGCCTCATAACTTTCTCTTAACGCCTTCAACAATGAATTATCACTATTATTCCTGAGTAAATCCAGTTTTTTTTCCGACGATATAGAGATCCCCAACGACTTGAAGAGCTAAGGGAAGACCGCCAAGCTGCTTCCCAAGTCACAACATCTTTCGAGAGCTCTCTATAATCTTCACTTGGACGAGGCTGCTTGAAGGCATGTGATACGATTGTACAATGCCACGTCAGGAGGATTCAAATTTGTTGCTGATGATGTGGATCATATCAATGAGAAAGGGAAAGACTCGGGACGAAACAGAGGCTTTACTGAAGGGAAAGACTTGGAGAGTACTTTACCGTTGAAAGTTGAGAAACGAGCAAGAGAGCTGGAACAAGCTCATTTCTGGTTTATGCTTGATGTTGAATGTGTTAGTCGAGAGAGACTTGGCCTAGCGATGTGCTAGAAGAGAGATCAATGTTGATCTCTGTGTGTAATCGTCACTTGAATGCTCTTGTAAACGATTGCTTATCTCTTTTGTCAGGTTGATTACTGCTTTGGTAATCGATCGGATCTATCTTATTGTGTATCGAAGTTATTCTGGGATTTGGAGTTCTTATTCCTTAACAGCATGCTTACTAAAGAGCTGAAGTGCTTGGGTACTTCACATAGATACGTTCCACATCATGCAGGTCTAGAACACTCCTGTCTGAGTGGTGATAATGATTCTGCTTCCTGGTCCAAACCACTCAGGTTTCCCAGCCAGTTCTTTTAGCTGTTGTATATCGTCAACATCATATGAGTAGAGGATCAAACACCAGGAATAGATGTAACACGAGAGATAACACCAAGAAACCAGTTAGTAACCTGAAGCTTTTCTCTTTTGGAACCTCGAATATCTATAACAAAAGACATGGCCTTGGGCTTTAAACGGAAATGCCAACATCACTAGGAAGATCAGCAACATTACTTTTAACCTAAAAAATCCAATAAAAAAAAAAGTCCAAATCATGTAGAAAACTCCCTGATGACCTGAATCAACCATAGTTCGAGCCTTCTACATCAAAGGAGCTAAAAGTTTGCAATCCTATTCTTAAGTGACTTGGAAGCTTTCAATGCAAAAACTACATAAAAGGACAAGATATAAGAACAAACTCGTTTTGGAAGGAATTTATGAGCATCTTTCATCAGAGTGTGTTCACAGTAGAGAAACGGTTTTTCAACAGACAGAAAATTGTTTGCTGAGTATGAAACAAAAATCTCGATAGAATTATGAAGAAGTTTTAGAAGATGGTTTATTATTCGACAAGAACAAGTCAAGTTAAGTAAGGTTTAACTACACATTACAGACGCTCAAATCAACATGTCAAGCAAAAGCTACTTCGCGCTTCCACGAGTCGAACCTAAACCGGAACCCCCGGATCCCGAACCCCCGGATCCCGAACCAAAACCAGAACTTGAGCCTGAAGCCGAACAAGAACCAGAACTCTCAATCAGAATATACATGACTTGATCAATTACATCATCGCAATAGACCACAACATCTTTTACAGGTCGGAGAAAACTAATAGCATCCTTGGTAGTACTAGGAACAGATGAGTAGCACTTCCTTTGCAAAGATTTAAGGGGTTTGTCACCAATGAACCTCAATAGTGTATATGCATATGACTTCAGTTGGTCGTTGCTTAGTTTCTGATAATCCTCAGTGGGATGTTGCTCTACTTCTTCACCGCTGGCGCTAATGCTTTTTAGAAGATTGTTAAGATAAAAGATGCATTTACAAAGACCCTCGGTGATTGCAATGAACCCATCTCTAGTAGTAGTCTAGAGAGACAACAAAACGAGGTCAGAAAACCAGTGTAAGAAAAAGGTTTTTAAGAAATTAAAACACTCACAGGATCATTGATATGCGACAGAAGAGAGTTAGCAAGTTTCAAGCCATAGGACTCTATCTTATCAGCCACACAGTCCTTCAAATTTCTGAGTTTAAGCGAAGCACGTGCCTCAGGATCATCAGGATAAAATGATTTGTCAAAACTATCCAGAGAGAAATCTTTGCCGGAGTATTCACCACCGGCTTTGGAGTCAGAGTTAACTGTAGTTTTTCATAAATTTTTATCAAAAACTGTAAAACAATTAAACCCAAAAAAGGGAAGAGTCTCAAAAGAAACAGATGAAAAACAAGGTATCAATCCGAGCTAAACTGGATAGGCAATAAAATCAAATTCAACGACCACCCTTAGTTCAAAATTGAAAATCTATCTCAGTTTTCAATGTAGATTCAACAAAAGAAACCCAGTCCATCAAGTTAGCATATACCTTTGATATGAGAAATCTGCGTTACCCACAAAAACCAAACAAGTAAAACCCTAATCCTGGAATCGCCGTAAATGGGAATCGGAGCAGATTTCGATGACCAGAAGAATTAGTGAACTGCAAAACAAAAGCATCACCGAAACCATCAGAAGCCCGGAATCAGTTCATATAAACGGGAACTCGATAGTATTAGCATTTTACCCAAATCGAAAATCCACCCGCAGTGTTGTCGCCACTCCAACGGGTACGAATGAGTAGGTCGAAATGCTACGAAAATTCTAAGCGCTAAAGGAGATCGTTTTCAGCCTATTTAATTGGGCTTAGTATTGAATATTGATAATTCAACTGGGCATAAAATGGGCTGGTGAGTCGTGAAAGTTTTTTAATGTGTTTGACCAAAAAAAATCCCGAGTTCTCTTTTTTATTTGGAAAAGGTGTCACAAAAATTCTCAAATATCAAAAAATGCCAAAAAAAAATCTCCAATTTTATCTAATAAAATAAGGGGAGACTCACAAAAATGCCTTTTTTTTCAATATCCCTTTTCAAAAATACCTCCTTTGGCTGTCCATTTTTAAAAATACCCTTTTTATGTACAAAATGACTAAATTACCCTTCTTTTAATAAAAAATATCACAAATATATAACGAAATATAACAAAATTAGGTCCACAAAATACAAAATATATTTTGGCGGGAAAAGTGATCCCGCCAAAACACTTGTAAAAACTTTAAAATACCTTGTAAAATTTTCCCGTAAAATTTTTTCCCGCAAAAAAATTTTCCCGCCAAAAATTTTTTTTTGCGGGAAAAGTGATTCCGCAATTTTTTTGGCGTTAAATTTTTGGCGGGAAAATTTTTTTGCGGGAAAAATTTGCAAGGTATTTTAAAGGTTTTTTACAGGGTATTTATAAGGTTTTACAATGTATTTTAAAAGGTTTTACAACGTATTTATAAGGTATTTATAAGATTTTACAAGCTATTTTATAAGGTTTTACAAGTTATAAGGTTTTACAAGTTTTTTATAAGGTTTTACAAGTTATAAATACGTTTATATAACCTTATAAGTACCTTTGTAAAACCTTTTAAAACACATTGTAAGACCTTACTAAACACTTGTAAATCTCTGTAAAACCTTTAAAATACCTTGTAAATTTTTCCCGCCAAAAATTTTCCCTCCAAATAAATTGCGGAATCACTTTTCCCGCAAAAAAATTTTTTTTGGCGGGAAAAATTTTTACGGGAAAATTTTACAAGGTATTTTAAAGGTTTTACAAATGTTTTGGCGGGAAAATTGTGGGATCACTTTTCCCGCCAAAAAATATTTTGTATTTTGTGGACCTAATTTTGTTTCAAATAAGGGTAAAATGGTCATTAAAAATTAAAAGAGGGCAAACTTAAAAATGGACTCTCAAAGGGGGCATTTTTGAAAAGAGGTATTGAAAAATGGGCATTTTTAACAATTTCTCTAAAATAGTATGGTAATTTATATTTTAGTTATTAATCTTTACTATTGAATTTCCATTTTAATCGCTTACATTGTTGACTTCCCAAATAAATTCTATTTTATGTATGTTTTATAATAATTTATAATTTATTGGATTTTAAAATTGATATTATAAAAATTATTTCTCATTTAATTATTTTATATTATTATTAATATAGTTGAAATATGTGTACTTAGAAAATTTGTAGGTGTAGAAATAATATAGTGTTATTATTGGCAAGCATTTATAATCATGGACTATTATAATAAGTTGATATTATTTTGTATCAAAAAAATTTAACATGCGGTATATTGCGGATCGATTTTTTATACTAAAATCTTTAAATTTTAAGTTATATTTGTCTTGTTAGTATTATTTGGTTTGTTTAGTATTTAAGATTATATAATTATATTTTTGTTTTAAATTTTAGGTTTCACCCGTGGTATACTATCCCGTATTAATATCGATCCAAACCCGTTCCACCATATAACTCCGTCCCGTGAAATTAAACATCATTTTGTTATATTTCTTTTGAATTAATATTTTTATTTTAAAAACATATAATTCGAATCAATTTAAAAGTTTGCTTTAAAAACATAAATTTGTAATGTTTTTATTATGATAAAGTAATAATATACAGATGTTGTTTACTATGTAGTTATAATTAAAACCAACTAAAATCTAAGTTTAGTGTAGATTATGAATTATAGTTATGAATTATGGGTAAATATTTTTTACTAATGAAATACATGTTATTAAGTTACTATCCCAAAGGCAAAAAGTTTTTTTTAATAATCAAGGCAAATATTAGAATTTTATTTGAACAACTAATTTGTCAAAGCAAAACGAAATACAACAAAACTAAAA